TCTCCCTGCAGAGGTCCCTGCCTTAGACACCCTGGCTGTTCCCTGCAAATCAGTTTACTTAATAAAAATTGAGAAATCCAACTGTCTGCTTTGAAAACTGGGTCCTCTCACTGGAAAAAGTATAAATCTAGGTAATTTTTTTTTTTTAAATAAGTGCATTTTTTCTTGGATTGAGAAGGGAAAAAGGACATTTTGCAAATAGAACAAGACAATTTACATTTAAAATAAGAAAACACAATTGCATTGTCTTATTTTAAGTGCATATTATCTTATTTTAAGAATAAAAATACTAATTCCATTGGCAAACTATCTCATTTACCCACTCAATTTAGGGGAAAATACACTTAATTGAAATAATTTTGACTTATTTATATATTGTTTCTCCAGTGCTTTTTCTGAGCCATGACAAGTTGTGACTTTTTAAAAAGAATCTCAATTGTGTCATGGTCCAAATGTATCAATCAGCTCGGGTGAAGGCTACTTAAGGATCCACATTTTCACTTTTCTGCATTATATTATCATAGAATATAGGAAACAGCGGTGATATTACTGAAAACAAATGTTTCTCCATTGCTGATTAAAATACATGAGAAACTGGAAGATGACCACGAGAGTAACAGTAGAAGAGTAAGAAGTGTGACAAACTTAGTCTCAAAATTCTCCAGAGGTCTGGCATTGATAAAGAAACACAGATAAAGAAAAACTTTTTGGTCTAACGAGGCATTACTTTTCATTTACAAATCAGCACTTCTGATAGCCTCAAACACCAAACTGATAACACAGTGAAGGATGATGGGGAGGACATGAGGTTGTTTGGCTCAATAGAATACCCACTTCTATTGAGCCAACCCGTCCTGTTCTGCAAGAAAGCTGATAATGAAGTGGGATTTCATTTTTCAGAATCTCTTTGAGTCTCAATGATGTGTCAGAAGAAAACATAAAACCAAATGTAACCATTAGTAGTCGAAGTTTTGAAAGAGCCTTACCAGTGTGCAAGTCAAAATCTGGGAGAAAATTTGTGGAGAACTGTTTACAAAAGATTGTGTTAATGTGAGACATGTAAAGCACATCTGCAAGAAAGGTACATAAAATAAAACTAAAGAAAAATGCTAAAAGTTGATCCGAGGTTCTCCAATGAAGCCCGACATTTTTATGCTTTTTCTTCGCTTTTCACGGTCTAATACATTTTAGATGTTACATTATATATTCCTTTTGAATATATTAATTTTGATCTATTTTTTTATATTACAAATACCTGCTTTTTTGTAAAAGGATGTACAGTATAAACCTTTGACTATTCATTCTTGTATTCAATAAAGTAAGGACAAAAAGAGCAGTGTTTTGAGTTCATGAGTGATTCATCAAGACCGGATTGGTTTCTGTATTTACTGAGAACACAAACAGATGAATATGTGGATCATTTTTGGCAGGTACAACAGGAGCCACGTCCACATATTTCTATCTGGTCTGGGTCCTCCCCCTGAATATATTCAAGAGGCAACACTACAGAGTGGGATGGCTAAAGTGCAGCAGGCACTGACCCAGGTTAATATGATTAAAACACTTCTCAGTGCCAGTGTCTGCAGTCAGAGAGGCGTGCAGGGTGCTGAATGGGAAAAAAAAAAAGCAGAAATCCTCTGAGAGTTTTACAAAGCTGAGTGTGTGTGTTGGAGGGGGTTGGGGGGTCAGGTTGGGGGTGAGGTACTGTAGCTGCTGTATAAGCAGCTGTGCTGAGGCCTGTTCTGAGGCTGCAGAGGTAGCTCTAAGTGTGATTTCCCCACAGTCTGTTTCTGCAAACCCCAAGTCAAATCAGCATCTTTTGTAAAGTTACTCATGTTCTGCAGAAACTCTAATTATATACTTTATACACAAAACAGATAGAATTAAATTTTTTGGAAAACACAATGACTGGCTGGGATTTACGAAAAGAAGAATCACTGTGTAATCACACAAAAAAGAAAACGACAATCTGTGATTGGATTGCTTTTCCTAAATGATTAATGGATGACCCAGGACCAACAACAGACCTTAACAACCCGAGTTGGTCAGGGCAGCAGGGAGGTGTTAATAAAATGTCTGCATTTGCTGCTCAAAATTTTGGAATGTTTTAACTTGAAGATCTTCAAGCACTGTGCAAGCTTTATTTCATGTCAATACAGTTTAAGATTCTGCTCACTGTTTGATCAAGGAGCACTAAACAAGCCGGGGTGGATGCATCGTCAGTCCTTTGGTAGTCTGAAGTGATCACAGTACACAGCAAGTATCTTTGTGCAGGATTTATTAGAGTCATAATTAACAGTCTATTACAGCAGGCAGGTTTTGGAAGGAAGTCCTTTAAGCCCTTTGTGTGCCTCTCTAAACTGATATCTTAGGTAGCTGTGTTTTGTCTGATTTGGGCTTTGCTTTCAACAGGAATCTGTCAGCGCTGTGAAGTGAATACAAAACTGTGACAAAGCATTCGTATCCCTTGAAATACTCTAAATTTAATAATGTCACAGCCACATTTTTCAATGTATCTTATTAGGATTTTATGAGACAGAAAAGTGCATAATTAGAAAGTGGATGGAAAATGATTGCCTTTAATTTTATTGCCAATAACAATCCAAAAAAATGCACATGTATGCAGACCCTTGTACACCCATATCCCTCTATAGATTCAGAAGCAACCTACTGCTGTCCATCACTTGATTCATGAAAATAGTCCACATACAGTATATGTAATATAACATCAGTATAAATACTTGTGTTCTGTGAAAGCTTCAGAGATTAATATCAAATGCATCTATTGACAGTAGTATAGATACCTTCCGAAAATCAGATATTTTTGGAAAAGTTGCAAGAAGAAAGCAGATGCTGAAAAAAAAGCAGTAAGATTTGTCTGCTATGTATGGGGGAGTGTAACTGTTTAGAGATTTTCAAGCTCTACAACCTTGCTGGGCAGGTTCTTTTCTTTCCTTTTTTTATTTAAAGATATTTTTTTCTTTAATAGTGCCACTGTTTTTGTTGCATGACATTTGAAAGAGGGAGAGGGGAAATGTGGTATAGGTCATATTTATCTCTCCAAAACGGGGGTCACCAATGCTGTGCCAGTGGGCACCAAGGGGCCCTAAAGAACCACATGGCTTGCCCTCAGCATCTTCTCAAATCAGCCCAACACAAATCAGCCCAACACACTATATAATTTTTTTTATTTATATCACAGCTGTATTTTCATCGATTTCAACATGACAATATCTAAAAGAATATTAGAAATGAAAAGAAACATCAAAAATATGTTTATTATGCAGGAAGTGAATGTGAATACTGAATTCCCCAGTTCATAGGTCAGTATTAGCACTATAAGATGGCTGCAGTAGCTCTAAACCTTAACGAGGTTGATGACCTTTGCTCTAAATGATCCCTAAATGTATCCATACCCTGTATTTGTTTTTTTTTTCTCCAAGGTCACTGGGTGATTGGAAGTGGAGGGGTGAATATCAGGAAATTCCACATTGTTATAATGCAGTGTCAAAGGACAATGACTCTTTTAGAGTTATTACAACAACTGGAGTAAGATATGCACTATGTAGAGAATTTGTTTAACACTAATTCAGACTGGGACATAATGCACTCTGATTGATGTGAAATTTAGCTCTGAAAGTGTTACTAAAGCTGTCATAGCCCAAACTCTGACCTTCAAATGCAATTATAGAGGATTTTTTGTTCTATTGACTGAATGGGATGTAAATATACCCATTTTTTTTTCTTTCAAAAATTGATCAGTTCCTTCTACTTCACCAACTGCTCAGATATAATTGTTTTCCATCTATCACCTAAAGTTGCACTGCACGTAGCCTAAGTTTAGGATTGTCACGGTTTTGGTTCTAAGTTTTATCTTTGAGTTTTCATTGGTTTTATTTCTGTTTTGTGTCATTCTGGTTATTTTTTAATTGTATTTGAGTTCTTAGATATTTTTTGTTTGCCCTCTGTAACCCTCTTGTTTCAAGTCTCCTTATTCTTACTCCCTTATAGACTCCTCCGTTCACACCTGCTCCCAATCTACTGATAAGCCTCTGTTTCTCTCTCCATATATGCACCTCCTGCTCAGTCACTGTTGCCAGTTTGTCCCACTTGTTGTGAGTATCCCTGGTTCTCAGTTTTTGTGGATTGGTTCGCTTAGCAAAAAGTAGTATACTTGAAGTATAACATTACAAAGTATACCGAACACGGTACTTGTAGTGTACTTGAAGTATTACTAAAGTAATACTTCTTAGAACTAAATTGGAACATTTTTAAGTTTACTAAAGTAAACTTAAAAGTATACTTTAGTAAACAATAAAGTAAACAATAGCATAGTCAAGTACACTTGACTATACTATTTTTGAGTATAAGAAATATAGTTTAGAATAAGTAAACTCTAAGTGCACTGTCTAATTTTAAGTATGAAATTAGTGTACTTTTAGTATACTTTATTAAACCACTTTTTGCTAAGGGTTTCTTGGAGTTATGCTTCTGTTACCCTTTTTTGTTATTGCATTTTCAAGAAACTACTTCAGCTTCAGTATCTGTATTTGGGTCCTCTCAAACCTCCACTTCACTGTGCTTGGGGTTAGAAGTTGAGGATATAGGAAAAAAATAAGTTTTTACTTTCCTGGTGGCTATAGAGAGAGACCTTTAATGAAGTTAGTTTTCTCCACTCCACCAATGTTTGTTTCCGGTCTGAAATTAATTCTTAAATGAGCCACCAAAGCGTGCAATGGAAGTTACATAATTGGCTGATTGAAATGTACTTTGAGTTGCAGTGTATGAGGGGGGAAAAAGTTATAACCTCCACGCATTCCGGATCACTTCGTCTGTTAACATATATTCACGCATATTTTCACAGTTCAGCAACTAACAGGGCTGCTCTGCCGAGTGGAAGTGTTTTTGCCGCTTAAGTACTCGCGGCGTGCATCTCTTCCAGTCAGCCTAACGCGGGCCCTGAATATTCATGACAGTGGCTCTGAACGTCAGGACGCAGCGGCGGCTCTTCCTCCCTGTCAGAGAGCAGAGCGGAGCAGAGCGGCTGAGCAGAGGAGGGACAACAAACCTCACAGCCCGACTGCATTTCTCCCACCAACGAAGTGCGACTTTGTCATTTAAGGGCAAATCTGCCCTCCATCCATCTCCAGGCTGCAGCGGCGACGAAGGGATGCTGCGATTTACGGACGGGGGGAGGTGAGAAACAGAAAAGCAAGGGAGAGATAGGGAAACACCGCCTCTTCTCTCTCTTTTTTTAAAGCCAGCCCATATTTATTGGACGCACCTCGGGTACATATCTGAAGAGCGGGAGGGATCGAGTGACCGCCGCCGTCTTCTTTCCAAATATGCAAAAGAAAAACACAGAGAGGAAATGCTTCAGAACAAGCAGCCATAGCATATTGGTACCTTTATGATGGAGGAAACATATCAGGGTTAACAAAGCTTGCAGCTTCCCATGTTGCGGGGGAGAGATGTTTTGCAACTGTCGCCCGCTGTTTAGAAGAGATATGCATCCCACGGCATCATCCTTCGCCTGTAACGCGTAACTCAGGCAGCTGCGCTCTGGAGGAGCATGTAAAGCTGTTCCTGCTGAAGCCAGTGATAAAGAAACCGTACTCCGGCTGGAGCAGAGCAACCTTTTCCTCCGGTCCTGAACTTCCGTGAGATGACTCTGAGCGGAGCCTCCTGAGCTGTCCGCGGTGCTGAATGAGCCAGTCATCACAAAAAGCTGCTCTACGCATGGACAACTGCTGGGCTTGACTGAGTCAGCCAGACCAGTATTCCCTTCTTTCATGGCTGTGGCACGGAAAATCAAAACTTTGCTGACCGTCAACATACTTGTGTTCGTGGGGATCATCCTGTTCTCGGTGTACTGCAGGATTCAGGACCGATCCGAGGAGCTGATCCAGCTGGGGCGCCTCTCCGACCAGAGGCTGAGAGCCAGGAATGGAAAAGTTTCCAACTCGGTGGACAGGCAGTCTATTCTTCAGCGGCTGGAAAGGCTGGAGGATGTGGTCTACAATCAGTTAAACGGTAGGACTGGACATAAAAGTAGTGACTTCCTTATGGTTACAATTATCAGTTTAAATAGTGCATAAATGAAACAAACTGTTTTAATGAAATATTACACACATTTAAACAGATATGGATATTTCAAGTAGAATATTCTAACATATTAATAGTTGTACTGATTTTTAACTATAAGATATTGCAGCAGGTCTATACATTTCTACCTGGATATGTTTTATTGTAGATGCTGGAAAAAGTCCACAGGCAAGCAAAAGAGTAACACACACTTATATAAGTGCAAGGCAGGCACGTGCAGAGGGGGGGGCTAAGGGGGCTTGAGCACCTGCCCCTTTTGCTCCATGATCCCAATGTGCCCTTTTGGTCCCTTTTTTTTTTTTTTTTTTTTTTTATTATAATTTATTATTTATTTGACACATGTACTGAAATTATTATTATTATCTTTTCTTTTTTGGCAAGATAAACAATACAATAAGCCCTCCGATCACATTGTTACCTTTGACCTTTTGCCGGTGACGACGCACTTGCCTCTCGCACAGTCAGATAAGGCGGCTAACTGCGGAGCTAAAGGTAGCGGATATTCCACATTACACTGTGGCCGCTGCTCATTTGGCCCTAAGCAAGATCAACCATGATCGGACGGATGGCTATGTCTTCAGTCTGCACCGCCTCTCCAATGTCAACCTGAATAGAGATGTAAGTGAAACCAAATGAGCCCCATGAATGATGCAGTATTGTTTGATCTAAAACACTGTTTACTCTGTGCTTTTAGTCTTTTACATTGAAAATTATGTTTTTTAATTCACAAAAAACTGGTCTGTAATGATTACAGAACAGTTTTTTTGTGAATTAAAAAACATAATTTTTGGTGAAAATACTGGAGTAGGCTTCCTACTTGTCAGACAACGGAAAACTTTGAACGTTGTATAATTTCTCTACTTTAGCAAAGAGTAGCGGTTTAAACGGAGGAAAGTAGTTCTTTCTCTGAAGAACTACTGAGCGGGAGGAGACAGCCAGGTGAGGAAAAGCTGTTCTTATCTATCGATTCAGTATTTGTATCATACAGACATTAGGCTGTTGTTCATGTGCTATGAGCTAACTGCTAGCTAATGACTTTGCTAGCAAAGCAAGATAACTAAAAAGCTTCCCTGTGTCGTTAATGACAGTAGGACATTCTTCAGTATTACTTATGCAATAGGGGCACATCGCCCGTCAAAAACCTATCATCTCCATAATGGATATATGTCCGATTTTCTAATTTCCTTTGCTGCATGATGTACATTTCATTTATTCTAGCGTTAGGTAAATGTATCTTAAAGGAGAACTCTTCCAAAACTACCATGATAGATATATGATAGATATAATGTATGAAGCTGGTGAAAACAAAACTGCGCAGCTTATGCAAGGAGGATCGGTTGTCAGACCTTTTTGTTGGCAATCGAGAAGGATGTGCCAATCATTCACTGTGAGGTCATTAACATTTTTAAAGACATGGCTAACAGAAAACTGCTGCTGTGAACAAAAGAGAACAAAAATAGCAAAAATGCTTAAAAGATGGGAATTTGTTTTTAAACAGTTAAATCACCATGACGGAAAATAAGTTTTTGCATCATAATCTTGGATTTAGTTTGGGGGAAAAAGAAAGGCAAGAGACTGAAATAAATAAGACATTGACCTTCACTCAACACAGAAAAGATGAGACAATGAGGAAAAAAAGAAAAGAGAAACTGACAAGAAAAAACGAAGAGGAAAGATTGAAGAAAATGTATATAGGTACTTACAAAATACACTAAGACACAAACAGAGTAGGCTTTTCTCATGGTGACATGCATTAATAAAATGTTTGTTTTGTTCTTTTTTTTCTGCAGTTCCACGTTAAAGTTTGATGCAGCAGCTCTGCTTTTCTGAATGGACCGTCTCCATCTCCACTGTCAGTACAGCAAACCAGGCAGACATTCTTTTTTATAGATTACAGTACACTAAAAGAATGCATTGTGCCCTTGTATGCATTTTTAACAGTTTAATTCTGTAAAGACAAAATATGTCTGGTGGTCCAGCTCTGATTTACATCTTTGGCTAAATTGCAGGTTTGAATATTGTAATACTTTCCTATAACAAAATAGACCTGCAGAAAGAAATTACTAATAAAATATTTTACGTATGCATAGTTCTATGTTCTATGTAGAGATTTCCCTTAGCTTTGATTGTATGTCTCACAATTTTGTAATTTATCATTGTTCATTAAACTCTGAAAGCTATGTGACTTTGTTAATATTCTGTCCTAAAATGCGATAAGATGTGCCCTTTTTTTTTTGAGCACCTGCCCCTTTAGTGGTCTCTGCACGGCCCTGGTGCAAGGTGTGCTTTCAGTCAGAGAGATGCTCTGATTAAGGTCTTTCTGATATGGAGTCTCATAACAGCGACATATTGCACAGATGCAAGTCTATTGAAATCTTCTCGCTGTCTTTGGATTGTCTTATAAAAGAAAAAAAAGATCCTGCTGCACTTAAATAAGTTTCATTTCTAGTTAAAAGAGAATAGCAACTTTCCCTTTAAACAGAAGATACACAAATTAGATTGTTTTTTAATCGAAGAAATAAGAGCAGCCCATACTTAAATAGATTAGCAATAGCTTCTATGAAATGCTTTTTGCAGATTTACTAGTCTCTGATATCAGACTGATAGTTTACCTAACTAAAGGTTTCTAATAGACTGTCCGACATTTTCCTCAAGAACTTTAAGATATCGAAATTCACAATTGGATCCATCCATCCATCCATCCATCCATCCATCCATCCATCCATCCATCCATCCATCCATCCATCCATCCATCCATCCATCCATCCATCCATCCATCCATCCATCCATCCATCCATCCATCCATCCATCCATCCAACCAACCAATATTGACAATAGTATAATGCATGGTACATTTTTATAATTTTGTAAAAACAACAACAACAACAACAAATAAAACCCAAATAGAATAAAAAAGGCAGGTTGTAATAATACAAAGGCATTAATTGCTCTAACTGAGTCTCTTACTACTCTGGCAGCGAAGTGTTCATTGTGTTTAGCAGAGAGAAAGCCTTGGGAAAGAAACCATTTCTCTGTCAGTTTGCTAATGCCACCAACGCTGTGTAGTGCTTCCCAAAGGTAAAGGTTCGAACAGCCTATGATCAAGATATGTGGGGCTCAGTGGAAATGTTCCTTTTTAAAAGTTTGTTTTCGTGCAATACTGTGTTAAACCTGTCCTTTTTCTTGTATGAGAATAGCAAAACATTTCAACAATTTTAAGACATTTTTCCAGCACTCTTGTTTTTTTTTTCTCTAAAAAGCCTCAGCCTTTTATTTTGTCTTTCTTTCTTTTTTTACTGTGCAATTTATTTCTCACCCATTCTCACTTTTTCGTGGGCATATGGCAATGCTTTCAACAAATATTAAAAAAATTGTCTTTTTCTCTTCTCCTCTCAACAATCCAGTTTTCTTCTCTTTTTTTTCTTTCTTTTTTTCCAAATTGGAAGGTTCTGTCCACAACTCCCCTTAATAAGCAAAACACCAGATTGACCCAGTAGGAGGTTTTGGTCTAGTAAAATACCACTGACCACCGGCCAGTTCGGCTTGAGAGTCACACCTCATGTATTCATCTGCGAGTCTTTCTGATAGGTCTTTCTTTTGTCTTTTTGTCTTTCTTAACACTTTTTTCACAGTTCTGACTTGTCCTCAGACATTTCTCTAGTATATGTGCAAGAAAGGGGGTAAAACTGTTTAAAAACATAATATCTTCAGCTGATACACTCATTAAAATTTGCTGTTACACTTAAATATGCCATTGAGAACCCTGAATTGCTCCCTACAAGCTTCCTTTGGGATTGAAACTCTCAAATCATCAGCAACAGGACCTGAAATAGGTATTCTAGGATTTGTGGGGGGTTCTTTTGGCATCTTGCAGTCGGCCTTTAGGGTGACCTTGGTTTAAAAGCAAACCTGGACCTGTTGGCATTTATTATGATGTTCTATTTTTAAATAAATTTTAAGTAAAGTCAAATGGCTTAGTTCAAATTCTGTTGAGCCTTCTGCTCGACTTCCCTGACCAGAAACAAAAGCTGCTGCAGCCATGTTTCTCAAGGCTTTAGGGACCTCTTTTAGTCTTACCATTGTGTTAATGTTCTCCCTCCCACCAGGAGCATGTCTGACTTTTAGACATTAAAAATATATCTGGAGTAAAACTTCTCTCTTTTGAGAAGGTATAAAATGTTTCCTAATCCCTTCATCACCAACTTCCATATTTAAAAACTTTCTATTAAAAATATCATTGCTTTCCTTGTTCATTTATATTGCTTGAATTTATTTGTATTTTCAAAATGTTAAACATCTATAGGTCCAAATACATTAGAAAAACACAGACTGTCATCACGTCTCCTATCTTTATAAGACTATAACCTTTCAAGGACTCTAGAATATTTGGCCAACACATGCTGCAGTCCTGTGATTGCGTCCTTGCATGCACCATGATTTTTGGATATTTTTCTCCAATCTTGCAGCCCTGTTTTTGTTTTTGTGAAACACCTAAAATAGAATGTTTCAGTTGATGATAATAGCTGATGCTTTATTTAGAGGCTAATGAGGCAGGGTTATCCATTAGAGCACAATGCCATCTGTATAGTATATGCCGTCCATTCATACTTTACTGTGCCATATTCTTTAACAACCTTCCCCAGTAACTGACTTGTTACAAACTTCACAGTCACTCTAAGTGTTTATGTCTGTAATGTTGTACACATTACACGCTAAGATAACAAATGTTTGCATGGCAGCAGCTGCACTATCAAACATTATTTGTCAGGTGGCCTGTTATCTAAAGGACAATATGTTGGAAAGGCCTTACAATAGAATCACAAATTTGATTTCCAATTTAGTGGCATTAGTTTGTGTTTTGGTCACATCAGCAGAGCTACATTGCATAAAATCCGTTTATATCTGACCTTCTTACTTACATCCACAGC